CCCACTAGGTCAGCATCGAGCAACCTGCACCCAGTGGCATGACCTGGGAAGGTTCTCTTTGCTCACAGTGAATTTTTTTTTTGTAAAAGCAGTTCCACTCAAACCTTGTTTTTTGTGATGGCCGATTTCAGAGAATAGTGTGCAGCTGTGAAATTTTGTTTCCTGCTTGGGAACAATGCTGCAGAAACTGTTGTGATGTTGAACACACCTTACAAGGATAGTGCTATGGAAAAAACACAAGTGTACGTGAGTGGTTTTCTTGTTTCAAAAAGGTGAAATGTCGATTGATGACAAACCTTGTTCTGGACATCTGTCAACTTCCCGAACGGACGAAAATAATGTTGACTCATAGTGCATTTGGAGTTGGTTCCACCAGGTCAGACTGTTAATCAGGCTTTCGATTTAGAGTTTCTGAAAAGATTGTGTAACAGTGTGCAACAAAAATGGCCTAATTTGTGCCAGGTGGACTGGTTTTGCTACCACGACAATGCACCTGCTCCTGCAGCCATCTCAGTGCACCAGTTTTTGGCAAAAAAACAGTATGCCTCTTTTGCCCCACGCACCTTACTCACTGACCTCAGTCCATGCGACTTCTTTTTGTTACCATGAATACAGAGGGACATGAAAGGACAGCAGTTTGACCACTTAGAAGAGGTGGGAACAAAATGATGAAGGTGCTGTCAGCCATCCAAACAGAATATTTTCTTCTCATACTCCCTGTTAGCTCCCCATTACCACTCCCCCCTCCCCTCAGCCATGCAACAAAAAACCAACAAGTGACTAGACAAAGCATAGGAAAACTTCAAAGAAATGAGGAAATATTAAAAACTGAAACAAAAAAACCCCAAACAATTTAAAAATGGGTCAAAGGTGGGATCAAATGATAAGAGAAAGGGACACCAGAAGAGAAAGTAGGGGAAGAGTAGGTAAAATGAAAGAATGAATTTATTATAATAGGACAAAGATACAAAAAAGATGAAGAAAATAAATAAAGCTGGCTTGTGGGTGGGAATTCCTGCTCCCTTGGTGTGTTATTGTGGTGGGGAGGTGGGGCATGATGGCCCTAGGGCACCAGACAACGAAGCAGGTAGGTGAGGGTGGTGGTGAAATGTGAAGAGCTTTACCGATCACATCTGCACCAAGCTATCCACGTGGTCTGCTGTCCACCACGGCCCTCAGACGCCAATGCATTTGCGGTTTGACGGGCTGGGTTTCCTCAGGGGCTTGGGAGAATTGGCCGTGCCTAAGAGGAACAGGGCTCACAGATACAGCTTGTGCTAAGAGCTTCTCACTGCCAGGAAGTCCAGGTTATTCTTCCAGTGAACCCTTTTTGGTAGTTGTTAAGGGTATCTTCCTGTGCTTATAATATGGTGGCCATATTCCTGAGAGCTCGGCACTTGACTTTGTAAAGCACTTTAAAGTTATTATCTGGTCCTCAGCCCTGAGCAGCAGGGGGATTCATTGACTCCTAGGTGGCACAAACAGTTATAGACAAAGGGGACCAGAACGTATACTCACTTGTTGCAAGGCAGTTTTTCTACCACATTATTAAAAACATCTGAGGAAAATTCCTCCCCGTCTCCCTCATTGACTTTTAGAACTACATCTCTTTTTCATGACACTATTGGCTTTCGTTGGTAGTATACAAAATAAAGGCTCTGTTTGCCTACTAAACCCATGCCATTAGTTCACAAGTCATTAGTTGAGGAAAAGGCAATGCAGGTGAAGGTTCATTTTGGTGGACATTTAAATTAAATTTCCACTATGAGCATTTTCTTTAAGGGTGATTGCAGCTGTGTGGATTATGTACCGTGTGAAATCTTTTTCAGCTGGAAGAGGAGAAAAGAAGACTGAAGATTGTAAAGTGGGACAGCATGCAGGAAGGAAAAAGCTACAAAGGAAGTGTCAGAAGGCCTCAGGTGCTGTGGACGAGGTCCTGTTTGACAGTTTAAGTAACTGATTTTTAGAATAGAGTGTTTAAAATAGGTCATTAAGACTGTGTGTGTTAATAGGAAGAAGACCACTCTGTGCCTTCCACGTCATCAGTCCCCCCCAAACACAAGCCCGAGAGAAAGCCCTTGCGCCGAGGTGGTAAGTGCCATATGACCACTACTGTGAAAGGATTCTGAGTATTCAGTTACAGGACACAGTGAACTTAAACTAAGCTTTATACTTAAAACCAGATTTTGTGTTGTTTGTTTAAATTGCAAACAATTCCTAGCTCTAGGCCTGTGGTGACTAAGTAAAGGAGCTAGATGTGAAGCACCTATGAGGCACTCAGGCCATCCTTTGAGCAGTTGGATTTGTAGTTTTGTGTTTTCACTTGAGCCCACAAGGGCAGTGTATACTGAGAGATTAGTAGGACAAGGTTGTGTACCCATTTTACAGATGAGTGTCAGAACTTTCTTACTTCCTGCAAACAGTTTTCTCAAGGACAACTGGGCAAATGCTCCCTCTTAGCTTAGTCTCCATGCAGCTCTACTCACACCCTCCAGGTGATGCATTGGTAAGACTGACTGGGGCTCTCTTCATCCCACCAAGGGGGTTTATGAATCCCTTTGGCATAATTGAAACACAGAGAAATGAAAAAAGTAATTCTTAATTATTCTGGTCAGGCATTGCGAATTAATCTAGAGGAGGAAGAACACAGAGTAATTCCAAGATACTTTGTAGAAACCAATCTAGGCAGAAGCCCTTTTATTTTCCACTAGGGAGAGAATTTCTGCAGGGAAATACTGCAGAGGCAGGGGCATAGCCTCTTGTATGACGTCGTAGAGAGCCGTCTCGGTCTATCAGTCTGGTTAATGTGGCTGCTGGAAGGCCTTCTCTTACTGGAAGTCTGTTATCAAAGCAAGAGTTTTGAAACTTTTTTTGCACAGCACCCGTCAGTATTCCCCACAGTGCTGAGACAGACTGGAATGGAATTAACCCTATTTACAAATAAGGACAGTGAGGCTCAGAGAGCCATTACTCAAAGTTTCTAGAGCAGCAGTTCTCAACCTGTGGGTCACTATCCCTTTGAGGGTCAAACAGCCCTTTCACAGGGGTCACCTGATTCATAACAGTAGCAAAATTAAAATTATGAAGTAACAACGAAAATCATTTTATGGTTGGGGGGGTCACCACAACATGAGGAACTGTATTTATTAAAGGCATTAGGAAGGTTGAGAACCACTGCTCTTTGGCTTTGACAGATACTGTTCCAGGAGCAAGTCAGAAGCAACATCAGGCCTCATTTAAGGTGTAGATGTTAAGAGCTGCCGGAGGAGCACGGGCTTTCTGCTCCCATGCGGGCTTCTTCTTGGAAACCGTAGGAGCAGCAGGGTTGCCACGAGTGGCAGTCAACCTGATGGCAGTAGCTCAGAGTCAACTTCCCAGATGACAGTTCACAGCTTTGAGAACCTTAAGTGGGGAATAGAAAGAACACTGATCACCTGGTATGATCAAAATGGCGACTTATTTAATGTTTTTCCATACTTTGTAGCTTGAACTACCCTTATTTGCGTTTCCATTCTAGTAAGCACTACAATAGGGGCCCTCATGCACTTTAATCCAGGCATTTGCAGACTTTTGGTGGTGGTGAGAGGCGGGGAGTATTGTGTGTTTGGAGAAGTTGGAACTAAGAAGCTGAATTGCTTGTTTTCTTTCCACTGACGTCAATTCAAACTGTAATCAATATTCTGGAAAAAAAAAAAAAAAAGAAACATTTTGTAAAAACTTACTTGAATCTAGAATTCATATCTTTGCAGTGCTTTGCATGTTGAGCTGATAATTTTGTTTTTGATATAAATATTCCCAGTTTTTATGTAGGTAAATGCTCCCTTTCTGTTGTCCCAGGTTACAACCCTCTGTCTGGGGAAGGAGGTGGCACATGCTCCTGGAGACCTGGGCGAAGAGGTCCATCCTCTGGCGGATGAGGCTAAGCATCTTACTAGTGTCATCTGACATTAGTATCGAGCCTTCAAGTCAATTGCCTTACGCATACTTTTCACAGTGACTAGTCACAGAAAGGTGGGGGTTCTTTCTGTTCTAACCTGTATTTGCATATTTAAGGGTAAAATCAGCAAAAGATATAAACAGTGCCACTAGGCATTAGGCCAGTGGTCAGTCTTCTTAATGAGGACTACCTTCATTGAGTTCCAAGTGATTTGCTAGCCGGGATATAAAGTTTTCCAGATGATTAACAATTTTGAGAGACAGTGATGACCTTTAAAATAGAAATCCTTTCTTGATAGAACAGTCTCTGTGACAGGTTGCGTTGAATGAAGTCTTCCTTATAAATGGTGAACTCACCAGTGAGGATTACTGATAAAGACAATTAATAAGGTTTGTGTCTGTATATTTATTTTTACATAGAGAATTTTGTAAAAAGGACACTAAATATTAAAAATTCACAAATAACATTTTTAGCACTTTTTTGAAATTTAATTATGAATTTGAATTTTTCTTTCAAACATTAAACAGCTTTTATCATTCATTACTTCTATTATTACTTATTTCCCTACTTATTATTACTCACTAGAAATGAGAACGACTACCGTGATCTTCTATGTTAGCTGACTCCTTGGGCAGCATCCATAAGGTCTGTGCCAAAATCAGATGCTTGCAAATAGTTGCTAAATTAATAGAATGAAGAACTTGCATAGAGCTGAATCACAGGTCCCTTAGAAGTTACTGAGCGCTGCTATCACCTCCATTACTCTTTGCACCTGAATTCATTTGTTAATGTTCTTGGTTTTTGGTTTTTTTTCATTTGTTAATGTTCTTGTTGAAGTTTTCTTAAGATTTGGCAAACTTTTCTCAAAGGGCCAAATGGCACACATTTTAAAGGTTTTTGTTTTAAAATCATTTTATTGGGGCCTCATTCAGGTCTTGACAGTTTGCTGAACCTTTGTTCCTTAACTTTCAGCAGGCTAACGTGGGTTTGTTTATGTGGTGGGTCAATCTAAGAACAGTGTACCAGAGCTTTTCGAGTCTCTGCTCAGTTCACACTTTAGTACTGGCCACTGGCCAAAGCAAGATCAAAGGATGGAAAAAGATTCCACATTTCAATAGGACATGGACTGTGAAATCACATTGCAAGGATATAAATACAGGGAGGGAAGGGAATTGTGATTTTCATTTTCTTAAACTTTATAGTGATTTTTCTTTGTGGCCATTTTCAGTAGATGTTTTGGAATAGATCAGTTCAGTGATAATGAGCTGTGGTTGGTCTCTTTGGTCTGCCCCTCTTTGTTCACTCTCCATTCTGATCTATGACCCAAGAGCTGTAGGTAGTCCAGTTGTGTAGTCCATACAAGTCAGCTTCTCGGGGTGCAGGCTGTAAGCCACCTTGTTCCAGGTAGACAGCCTAGCAAAGAATACTATTCCAGGTGCTCCAACCACAGTTACAAACCCTGAATTATTTAATTTCAATAGGTATAGGTCAAACTAACCTTATAATTCATCCTTTTGGCATGCTTAAAGCCAGTCTGCTGCCATGCATTCTCCCCAGGCTCTGGCCAGTATGGATAGGCGAGGTCCTACCACAATTTCAATGCATCACTGTATCCTCTTCCATCAGGCTTTGCACTCGCCATCTAGACTTTGTTGAGGTCAAGCTCTTCGGGGTCTGGAGACAATGAAGAATGTTGAAGTGGGTTCTTAGGAGAAACTGCATCAGCTTGCATGGTGACTGTGCATGTGTGTGAACTTAAAAGACATATATGCAGAGGAAGGTAGACTAGGGACAGAGACCAGTGATTTGGAGGTTCAGTTCTCTGCCTCCTTTGTGTCAATTCATTTATCAGGGTCCCACTCATTCCCCTCCAGTGTCCTTAGCATAAGTGACCAAGCAGGATTGAACATTTTATTGGCATTTCCACTGATTGAAACTCTTAAAATCAGGCTGGACTTGTCTTCATCCATCTCTCCCTTTCAACTGCAAAAATGGCAAGTCCCATCAGGGCTTTCTCTACTGAATTCTGCCTTGGATAGTAACTTCCTTCTCCTTGCTCTCCCGTTTGCCCCTGAGCAGCACAATCTCCTAATCCTGTTTTAAGAGTGTAGCTCCTGGCTTCATTCAGCCAGGGTCATGGATAGAAAGATGGCACATGAATGGACTACTGGAAAAGAGTTTTATTAAGGAAGTGTTTACAAAAAAAGGTGTTGGCAGGGCTTAGAGGTCTGATAAAGGCATGTTATAGAACCCCAGGGCGAGCAGCACTAGGGAGACATTACCACCACTAGACATGAAAGAATTGAAGTTAATAGAAATTTGAGAATAAATCTGGAACTTCCGATAAAGTATACAAACCACCCTGTGGTAACGGAAGATAGTCATGTACCATATACTGCAAATGTTCAGACTTTTATGTGGCTTACAATAAAGGATGTATGCACCTGGAGTTAGTAATAAAACATGACAAGGAGAGGAGGGAGCAAAAAGAGCCTGTGAAATTCCAAGGCCCAATGCAGTTCCTATAGTTATAATATTTCCTTGAGCCTGCTTCTAAATATCTGAGTAGCCAAGGAGAAGAACAAGGATGATTTTTTGTCATTACTATAAGAAATAAGAGAATCTGGGGAGAGAAAATTCATCTGATATTAAGGTTTGAGATCAATTTTAGACATAGAACATTTAACAGTAGAGAAGCATGCTAGAACACTGAGCAAATGTCCTCAATAAAATCTTTAAAGCGAGGTGTGTGTGTGTGTGTGTGTGTGTGTGTAAAGCCAGGAATGCTGGTGTCTTAACTGAAATACCACAAGTGTGTGGGTGACTTTAACAAAGAAATTCTTTCTTTTTTTTCCCCCCACAATTTAGGAGGCTTGAAATCCAAATTAAGGAAAGTTTCTCTCATGGCTCTGGGGGAAGATCATTGTCTCTTCAACTTCTCTGATTACTCATTCCTTACAGCACTGCATATGCAGTGCATTGGATTGCTTAATATGACCTTTCTAACCATAATTCCCCATTTTGTGATGGGTTGTAAATCCTAGCATTTGTCTTTGTGTTATTGTCCTATTTTGGAGTGAGTTGTCCAAAATGTTAATGAGACAAAATTAGGGAGGGATGTATTTGCCTTACTCAGAAGATGTGACTCAAAGTCTGACAGGCCACTAGCTTTAGTTTCCTTGGGAATGTGGTTTATATCTAATATGTAGGAATGCTTTGGCAATGCACTCTATTGCTTTGGGTCCTGCACCTGATCTCTTCAGCTGACCTCCAGTTCTTGGGACTTGAGCCAGCAGCCTAGTACCTGGCCTGATTTGCTATCGTCCCCAGTCTTTTGAGCTGCTAGATTGCTTTGGGTTCATCAGCCTCCATGACTCCATGGACTGAAAGATGCCTCCAAACTGACACTTGGCCTATAAATTTGGACTTATTAGATTCAATAACAGTGCCATTTCCCTGATGCCCCTTTTACCAGAGCCTATATTGTCTGAGCTGCTATCCTGTGAGCCAGCAGCGTGTCATCTGCCTTGCTGGCTTGTGTTTATTAGCCCTTGCAACTATGTGAGTGAGGAGAATCAGCCAGACTGATGCCTGAACCATAAATTTGGGACTTACCAACCTGTACAGCCACATAAGCCATATGTTTGTAAGTTTATGAAGTCTGTAAGCCATTGCAGTGAACTACAGGATTCTAAGATAGGAAGGCCATACTCATCTGTCTGTCAGTTTGTCACATTATGGTGATTTGCATGTTGCTGTGTTGCTGGAAGCTAAGCCACACACATTTCAAGTATTTGCAGGGTCACCTATGGTGAACAGGTTTGAGTGGACCTAAAAAGAGAATAGAATGAAGCAATGAGCCATCTATTATTTCTGAGGAATTAACCACTGAAAGCCAAGCTTATGAATAGCAGCAGGCATTGTGTGATACAGTGCTTTAAAATGAGCCCCTAGTGTTAGAAGACACTCAAAATATGATTGGTTCTTCAAACCCACTGCCGTTAAATAAATTCCAGATCATAGGGACATTCTATGAGGGGATACCCAAAAAAATCTTAGAATTTTTTCCCAAAACTATGTATTTACCATGTATACTCGTGTATAAGCTGAGTTTTCCCAGCACATTTTTAATGCAGTTTTTGTGGTAAAATTAGGTGCCTCAGCTGATATTCAGGTCGGCTTATACTCGAGTATATATGGTAAGTTTATTTGCAAAACAACCTTATCACCATCCAAGTACTCTCCATTATACCTAATACTTTTATCAAACCTGCCATTTCACTGGAAACATTTTTCAAAATCATGTTTGGATGGTTGACAGCACCTCCCTCATTTTTTCTTCACCTCTTCTATGTTGTTAAATGGCTGTCATTTCGTGTCTCTCTGCATTTGCAGAAACAAAAACAAGTCACAGAGTGAGGTCAGGTGAGGTGCATAGGGCAAGAGAGGCATGCTATTTTTTTTTTTTTTTTGCCAAAAGCTGGCATGCTGAGAAGGCTGTGTGAGTAGGTGCATTGTCGTGGTGGCAAAACCAGTCCCTCGTCTGCCACAAATCAGGCCTTTTTGGTCACACACTGTTAAGCAATCTTTTCAGAACCTCTAAGTATAAAGCTTGATTAATAGCCTGACCTAGTGAAACCAACTCCAAATGCACTATCACATCAAAAAAACAAATGAACATCATCTTGACCTGTGGTTTCACTTGACCTTTTTTTGGTTGAGGTGACAATGGAATCTTCCATTGGCTTGATTGATGTTTGTTTTCGAGGTCATAAGAATAGCACCTTGGAGAGAAAGTCTGGGCCACTTAAGAGCTGTTCTTTCAAAGCACAGCATATTTCCACTGGATGCTCTTTTTCCTGGTCAGTCAGAACTTGAGGCTCAAATTTCATAGTGACCCTTCTCATTCCCAAGTCTTCCATGAAATTTCACTGAATTGAGCTCCAGGACAGTCCAGATATCTTTCCCATCTCTTGAATGGGTTGTCATCGGTGTTTGAGCACAGGTACACTAATTTTGTCGACTTTTTCTTCCCTTTGGGAAGTTGACGGCCATCTAGAATGAGGTTTGTCATCAATTGACATTTCAATATTTTGAAACAAGAAAACCACGCGTACACTTGAGTTTTCCCCTTAGCGCTGTCCTTGAACTGTGCTCAACATCACAGTTTCTGTGGCATTTTTCCCAAGCAGGAAACAAAAATTTCAGAGCCACATGCTGTTCTCTGAAATAAACCATCACAAAAAATGAGGTTCAAGCAAAACTTTGGCTTTTACAGAAAAATTCACTGTGATCAGAGAGAACTTCCCCAGGCCACACTATTGAGTGCACTAACTCAGAGTGAGTTGCTTCATGCTCGCCTAGTGGGAAAAAAGCATACTACAAAAGCTCCACCCAGCGGAACTTTTTTCCCTTTTTTGGGGGGTGTACCCCCTTGTATAATGATTAAAATGGTCAATTGAACAAGAGGACATAGCCATAATATTTATGTATCCAATGAAAAGGCATCAAATTGCATAAAATTACACTTTAAGAGAGTT